GGGGGTGGAGAGAGAGAGAGAGAGAGAGAGAAAAGAAACAGAGGGAGGGAGGGAGGGAGAGAGGGAGAGGGAGAATGAGAGAGAGAGAGAGAGAGCGCGTGCACGCAAGCAATCCCTAGGGGGATTATCCTCCATTATCCTCTCGGAATTTTGGGGAATAATTAATACACATGAGTCCAGCATGTTTTTTCAGACTACCAGGCCTGGGACTAGAACCATGCAGTCAGCCATGTAGGACTGCAACCACCTTAACCACAACACCACAGGCTGGACCACACTTGACTGTTTACTAAATACACTACTTTCCACCATTTTGTTAAGCACACTTTGAGGTATTTTATAGCGCTCACTTCTTCCTCCTGCTGGAAAAGCTGTGCTTTAGCCTAATGTGTAGAAACATTCTCAAAATAGCACATATAACCACTGCCAGTAGGTGGTGTTCTTATTGAGCTCTTTTACAAAGTTAATATCCCCAGCCCCTTTTAACACTTATTTATCTATTTATTTGTTGTGATTTTCAAGCCAGACATACTGTTGGCTGTATACAATTTGCTGATTTCTAGCAAATCCAGACACACTTGATGGGAGTGGCTGAGTGTGGTCACGTAGGAAACAGAACTCCAGGATGAAGAGCAGCCTAGGTCGTCATCTTAACAATCTACACTAACTGGTTAGGAAGTATCAGAGAAACTCTACTTTAAAAACAAAAAGGTCAAGAAGACAGAGAATTGCTAAGAATCATATTCAAACATTTCTAAATGTGGAGGGGGGAACCCTAGTGGACACCTATGAATAGAGATTCATAATAGGTTTACTTATTTTTTATTATTTTTTAAAAGACAGTGTCATGCTATGTTGCAATGCTCCTGCTTCAGCCTCCAGAGTTGCTGAGATTACAGTTACGAGCCACACCCTGTTCTTCCAGACAGGATCTGGTTATGCTGCCCAGACTGGCCTTAAACCAGTGATCACCCTGCCTCAGCCTCTTAAGTAGCTAGAACCATATGTATACACTTGGTTTTTAGGACAGATTAGAAATTGAATTCAGGTCTTGGCTCTGCCTGCCAAATAGCAACCTCAACTACTATGCACTACTGTGACTGAGCTCTCTCTCTCTATATATATGTATAATCAGAATTTGGTATAAATTTAACCTTCTTTAGAAATTAAAGCTGGAAATCCTGTTACCTTTAAACATCTGAAGAAGAGGTTACAAAATGGCTCAGTGGTCAAAGCACAAAATGTCTGACCTACACAATATTATATTGAGGTGCTATTTTTCACTATTATACAACAATATACAGGGACTCCTGAAACTTCAGGGGGTGCTACTCATTGAGAATATAATGTGAATGGTGCTCTCTGGAGCTAAGGATCTCTGTGGCCTTGGTAACCTTCCAGTTTACAAACAGAATGATTCTGAACGTAGAAGCTATTTGGATCAAAGCAAAACTATCCCTACAGGAATAATACTAGATAGTATGAGGTCTTCAGTTCAACCCACAGATCTAATGAATCCACCGGCAATGAAGTAGCTCACAGATTCTATCTGGGATGTATTCGAATAATACTAGATAATATGAGGTCTTCAGTTCAACCCACAGATCTAATGAATCCATCGGCAATGAAGTAGCTCACAGATTCTATCTGGGATGTATTTGTGATACAGACAGAGGAAATTTAGAGTCAGGAAAATGAAAATGATAAAGACCAGAGAAAGGGGTGCTCCTTATCATTCTCCCTCCTTGCTAACAGTTGCTAGGAATAGAATGGTATGGAAACCTGTTAAGGTACAGCAGCAGGTCAGTCAAATCTCTGACAGGACTTTTGCAATCTGAAGCACATGGGAAAATGTTTTAATGTTTTCTACTCATTATGTTCCAAAGTTTTTCTGTTCTACCATTTCTGACAAGCTTGGAGGGAATGGCTACACAACAATCCCTTCTCCTCCATTCTCCTTCTGGGATTTTGGGCACGCCCACACATAAGGCCCATGTGATTTTCAAGCTTTCAGGTCCGGGACTTGAACTGCAGTTGGCTATGTGGGAGTCCAACAACACAACTGGCATGCCATTGGCTGGCCCCATGACATATTTTTCTATGTTTTTCTAAGCAAAAATGCATCGTGACTTTTCCAACGACCCAATAAATTCTCATTATTCTGAAACAGACAAGACATCAAACACTGCTTTAAGATATAATCTAGTCAAAGACGGTACCTCTATATTCATTCTTTTTTTAAAAAATTCAATATACATCTTTTATTTTTAAAATTTGCGACAGGGTGTGTGCACTTGTGTGAATGAGAGACAGAGACGGTGGGGAAGTGTGAGAAAGCACCTCCTAGGAGAGATGACTACGCTTCCACTCTCCTCTAGGGATTTTGGGCATGCAAATACAGGCACCCAGCATATTTTTTAAGCTGGCAGGTCCAAGACTTGAACCACGCAGTTCAAATTCAGCCATCTTAACCACCATGCTATCTGGTTGGGCCCTCAACACTCCTTTTAACTTAACTCCTAGGAGATTCTCCTTCAGGAGACCTGAAGTCTTAGAAATGGTCCCTTTGTTTGGTGTTCCCACTGTTCAAGGTTTGTATATCCTGGGGCAAAGCCCACAGTGAGACTCAATATGGCCAAGAGGAATGCCTTTCTTTTGTTAAGTGGGAGAGGAGCAGTTGTGAAAAGGAGCTGGGAAAGGAGGACAAGCAGACATAGATGATACACAGATGATTACCAGAGATATAACTTTAGGAAAATAGTGCATGCTAACACTAAGAGGTTATGCCTGTGTACTCCCTGAAAAGCCATCATGTAACCATATACACCCTAATACAAAGGTATTCTAGAACAGAGCTCCCCATCCTATTTTACATCACAGTACACAGACAATACTTTTTTTTTTGAGAGTTTTTTGCCATAGGGCGCACGCGCTCTCGCCAGACAGACAGAGAGACAGACAGAGAGATAGAAAGTGAGAAATCACCCCCCAGGGGGCATGGCCTCGCCGCAATCGCAATCCCTTCTCCTCCGTTCTCCTCTGGGGATTTTGGGCACACATGCACACGCGCCCGGCATGAGTTTAAGCCACTGGGTCTGGGATGCGAACCGCGGTCGACTACATGGGAGTCCAGCGACATAGCCATTACGCTAACTGCTGGTCCCAATACTTTTTTTTGTTGTCGTTGAGAGGTTTTTGCTATAGGGTGCATGTGCTCACCACAAAAGACAGAGAGACAGAAAACAAGAAATCACGTCCCCAGCAGGGATAGTCATGCTGCAATCCCTTCTCTTCTCAGTCTTGGGAATGTACGCACATGTGCCCGGCATGAGTTTAAGCCTCTAGGTCTGGGACTCAAACCATGGTCGACTATGTGGGAGTCCAGAAACACAGCCAACTGCTGGTCCCCAGACAATACATTTTAAAAGATATTCTAAAATATAATGGACCAAGTTGTTTGTGGCTGGAGGCAACTGACCCAGACCTCATCTAGCCAACTGAAGAGTTAAATAAAATCTCTTTAAAAGTTGTAATCTTTTAATGCCACATTTTGGTTTGTTGGCTCTGTTTTACCCTTTTGCAAATTTCTTCATTAATACAAAGTGATACCATGGGCCAGAAAGTGGTGCAGTTTTAGCACAACTAGACTCACCTGAAAAAAGTCTTTGGTTCAAATACAGAGGCCTCTCTGAGCGTATGGGTACATGTGCCTATGATCCAGACTGGCTGAGACTGGGGATGGGCTCAGTGTAAAGATCCTGTTGAGGGTTTCCATCTTTCTCAACTTAAAAAAAAGATCCCTGAGCGTATTTGAATTTTACAGGAACTGTGGCTTTCTTTCACCTGAAACCCTCTTAAGCCTTAGATATTAGACTTTATAGTCTGTGGTCTTTCTTACCATCTGGAAATGCTAGGACAGGGTGAACACAAGAGTCCAACTGAGAAAGACGTTCCAACAGAGGGGCTTCATAGTGAATCTCAGGAGGCATGATGCTGACACTGCCTGAACCACACAGTGCACAGGAGGGATTCACATCACAGCCAGGGCGGATGGTGCTGTTCCGGTGAACCTGTAAAATGACCAATGAAACTCTTGATAATTTGACATTTGAATAAAAAACCCAGTTTTTATCCATTATCTCAAAGTTAAAACATACACACACAAAACAACCTTTCAAGGTACTATGACACTGTTAACAGAGGTTTGATTAGTTTGTTAAAATATTTGTTTCTCTCACACACTGAAATTCAAAATAAGAAAATGTGATTTTTTTTCAAAGAGGAAATCCAATTACTTGAAGTCTTTAGTGCCTAACAAGAACTAAATTTTGACAGTTTAAATGATACTGAAACTGTGCTCACTGAGAACATTTTACAAAACCTGCACACAATTTTTAAAGCTGAAGTGTCTCCTGGAGTATTCAGGGAAACTATGCTCTAGGCTCCATCTCCTAGCCTCCCGAAACATTCAGACAAGGTAGGGCAACCTCCGTCTTCTCTCTCTCTCTCTGGCTGTTTCTCTGTCTGTATCACACTCTCTCTCTAAAATTTTACTTTTTTTTTTTTTTTTTTCCCCAAAATTTTCAACCAGTTCTCCTCACTTTAGGCTTTTTCTTTTACTTGCTAATTTCAGAAGCCATTTTAAAGCTGAGGCATGTCCTGGCTGGCTAGTGCGCAGCACAGTTTTCATTTTTTTACATGTAAAAATATTTTTTCCCTCTTTTGTGGTAGTATTTTTCTATTTTTTCCCCCTTTTTGATTATTATTATTTTTTAACCTGACTTTCCCATTCTAAACTTCACTCTCCACACACTGAATGTCTAGATAGGCCTAGGTGTCAAGCATTTGAATACTTTTAGAGTCACTGAAATCCTCACTGCTTATTGAACCTCCTGCTTTAATGAAGAAATTTCTTTTTATAAATCTGAACTTCTAATCTTTCTGTGAATACCAAATTGCGAAGCAATGTAAGCTAGATTTTGTCACAGAATGACCAGAAACAACCGCAGAGGCACAAGAAACATGAGAAATAAAGAAAATCTCTCTCCCCTAAGTGAAAAGAACAATTCCTCATCATCCACAGATAGTACAGTAGAGCTCATGGAAATGTCTGCTAAAGAATTCAGAATACTCATAATGACAAGACAAAATGAGATGCGAGAGCTGAGAGATAATGAACTCCAGAAGATGCAGGAGAAAAAGAGACAATGAGTTCCAGGAGGTGTTGACGTTCTTCCATGATCTAAAAGAGGAAATACACACCACAAAAAAGAATCAAATGGAGCTACTAAAGATGAAGGATGCCATTCAGGAAATAAAAACCTCCTTCGAAATTAATAAAAGGACATGAGTCCATGCAGAAAATCAAATCTCGGATATTGAAGGCAAAACCTTTGATCTAGAAAAAAAACACCCAAAAAAACTGTGAAAATAACCCCCCAAAATGAGAATATGATAACGAGAAATACTAGACAGCATTAAGTGCCTAAACATCTGGATAACTGGTATCCTAGAAGGTGAGGGAACTAATAAGGGCATTGATAATCTATTTCATGAAATCTTGGAAGAAAACTTTCCAAATCTAGAGAAGCTTTCAAATATCCAGACCCAAGAAAAAAAAAGGACCCCAAAGAGAACCAACCCAAGAAGATCTTCTCCACTGCACATCATAGCTAGCTTGGCCAAAACCACAAATAAGGAACTGGCAAGAGAGAAAAGTTAGGTTACTTATAAAAAGGTTATCCAATCACGTTAATCTCAGACCTCTCATCAAAAACAATGCAAGGAAAGAATGGGAAAATATATTCAAAGTGTTAAGTGAAAAGGTTTTAATCAAAAATATTATACCCAGCAAGGTTATCTTTCATATGAAAAGAAAGGATAAAAGCATTCTCAGATAAACAAGACCTAAAAGAATTTGCCAATAGTAGACTTACTCTTCAAGAAGTTCCAAAAGGAGTGCTCTACCAGAATAACTAAAGACACATACAGAAATAAGGGAACAGAAGGCAACCAAGAAAATGACCAATTTAAAGCTAGGGACAAGAAATATCAATAATAACACTGAATGTTAACTTCCAGGATATAAACAGAAAGACTGGACCGCAGTAACACTGCATATGCAACAGAAGAGAGTTTGAACATAAGAGTGAACTGGCAAAATAGAATTTTATGACTTTTGAGTAAAACATTACTGATTTTTTTTATACTATGCTTTGTTTTCCCAATTTACGCATTTTACTTCTTTTTTTCTGAATTGTTGATAGGTTCTGCAATTTATTAAAATATTTTTGTTTGTGGGACCAGTAGTTGGCATAATGGCTATGTTACTGGACTCCCATGTAGCTGACCACAGTTCAAGTCTCAGACCCGGTGGCTTAAACTCACACAGAGCACATGTGTGTGGGTGCCCAAGATCCTGAGAGAAGAATGGAGAAGTGTGGCATGGCCATCCCTCCTGGGGGGTGATTTCTTGCTTTCTGTCTCTGTCTCTTTCTGGCGAGTGCACACACCCTATAGCAAAAGCCTCTCAAAAACAAACAAACAAACAAACAAACAAACAAACAAACAAAAACAAACAAAAAGACAAATTTTTCTTCCTTCCTGACCCCTCTGGAATTAAAAAATATTTGGAAAGTATTCTTATTTTGTGGCAGAAGGGTCATCTGCATAATTTCAATAATGCTTGTTTCACTGAATCAGAAATTGGAAATACTCATTATTGGACAGGGCTTTGACTGGAATGTCATACCTGAAGATTAGTCAGCAAACTATGGAACTAAGGTGGATCTCAAGTAAGCTCTTAGAAAGAAAGATGGCCTGGCACCATAAACAGTTCTGCCTGGCAGAGAGGATTAGAGAAGATACATGGAAGAATTTATAACATAAAATATACCTGGACTTTTCCAGTCTAACATTGTAATCAGTAGAGATTGCAAAAGAACAACCACAACCAGAGGATTATCCTGAGAAAGACTTTGAAGGAAGAAAAAGAAATTGATCTTTGCTAGCAGATGGTGTATCACAGAATACTTGGTAGGCAGGCCTGAATTGAGAAGGTTTACATGTGACTTGTGTGCTGGACATCTGCTTTTCAATAATTTGAGTAGTTGACACGTACATATTTTCTCAAAAATACTTAAAACCATATTGTCTCCATTATTATAGAGTCACAAACGTATAACAAATATTTTGAACATTATCTTTAAATTTCAGTTTTTTGAAATTTTGAAAGTTGCTTATTAACTGTCAAGAACTATGGAGTATAAGCAAAAATATTTTGATATGTGAAGTAAATGTTTGTGGAAAAATGTAAAAATAAATAAATGGGAAACAAAACAAAACAAAAAACCCTGCATGCTTTCGCCACCTTGATGGTATTCAACTATCTGCAAAGGTGAGTAGGTGACTCTTGGTTTCCAGGTGAGGTATGATAGGATCTCATCAGAAATGTCAGTCACCTAGAAGCCCTCAATGACCAACCACATCTCTCCTCTCCTTTTCACTCCAGGGCCTCAAAAGACTTTCAGGTGTTCTCAAAGAAAGTGGTAGGTTTTCCAGGACAACTTACTATTATTTAACCTAGTCTAAAATCCCATTGCAAAGTTCATGCCTAAGTAATAAAAATACATTTATATGGAGTTCATACTCATAGTCTTTGAGTTACATTAATTATTTTATCTGGATTGATTCATTCATTCATTCATTCATTCATTCATTCATTCATTTATTTATTTATTTAAATTTAACCAGAGAGGGACAAAGTGAGGGGGAGAGGGGAGTGAGAAAACCAAGCCACTAGGTCTAGGACTCAAACCATGGTTGGCCATATGGGAGTCCAGCGTCCTTAACCTCCACGCCACCTGCCAGCCCCTGTGTTACATTAATTCCAAGGAGATACAACTCTGTAACAATTCATTAGAGCAGCACTAATTTTCTACCCAGATGTCTCTCAAAAGTGGATTCATTCTTTGGACTTGTTTAGGAGAAAGATGAATATAAGAACAACGTTACCTTTATCTACATACCCCCAACTATCTCTTTCCTGCACCCCAAAGATAGGTGGCATGCAAAGAAGGCCCTTTGAAGATTAGTTTGGAGAAATGACAATGAAGCAAAACTATTTTTAGAAAATATTTAATTTTATCTATCACCATCATCTTTTTTTTTTTTTTAAATCAGAGGAAAAAAGCACACACGTAGGGGCCGGCAAGTGGCATGGTGGTTAAAGGCGCTGGACTCCCAATGGCCGACCACAGTTCAAGTCTCGGACCTGGTGGCTTGCTTTCTCACTTCCTCTCTCTCTCTCTGTCTCTCTCTGATCAAACTGAAAAATAATAATGAAATAATAATAAAATTAAATAAAATCTTTAAAAAGAAAAAAGCACACACGTGAGAGCAAAGACAGTGAGAAAGCAAGTTGCAAGGATGGGATCTGAGTTGGTCACGTGTGGGTCCAGCGCCTTAACCACCATACCATCTGCCAGCTCCAGTAAAACTTCTAATAAACTGTGATCATAGATGCCACAAAAAGGAAAGGATACCAACATGACACTTCTGTGTAGACAACATTAATTGATAAATTTGCCAGAGGGCTTGTGTGCTCACCAGAAAGAAACAGGAAGAGGGAGAAAGCACCACACCCAACAGCATGTGGCTGCACTGCAATCCCTCTTCCATGTCTCCATCCTGTCAGGAATTTTAGGTATACACGTACATATGCCTAGCAATATTTTTCAAGTTATCAGGTCCAGGACTCCAACGACATAGCCAGACATGTGAGATCCAGTTCCATTAACTAGTGGGCCAGGGGGCTGTCCCACAGTGGTACTGGGGCTTGGGGGTGAGGGCAGATACCCCCTGTACCCTATTTAATCAGGGCTGGCTTCCTGAAAGACATAACATTTTAAGGTAAAGAGAGAGGGATATGTTGGCAGGGATAAAAACCAGACCAGACAGTAGATGAAAAGGAGAAATTAGGACAATTATTTATGATCTAAAAATTGCTCCAAAACTTGGCATTAAAAAGAGATCAGAACAGAATATCAAAGGGGGTCAGCAAGTGACATGG